TTAATTCCTGTGTTCATATTTATCTTAAAAACAAATAAAAAAGTACATTCTTTATTCCTCTTTAACAGTCATACACAGTTCAACTGAATCGAGAGGGCGGACACTTACATGTATGAAGATAATAATAGTAGTCCGAGAGGTGGCCGTCGGTGGAGGTTCGACTGTACTCCTAATTTAGAATACAATCATAATTTCCAGCACACTCTCAGCAATCTACATTCGTCCGATTTTTAAACAATAGGATGCGGAGACTACTAAAGCCAAAACTAAAACACGTATTTGCAGCCGTGTACACAGGAGAGTGTTGTTATTGTTTTGAAAACACAAGGTCGTATTCTTATGTATATGACGGTCAGGAAGTGGTACAGGCTATGTTGCCCTTTTCAGTCACATTTAATGCGATCGTTTATGGAGGACGTAAACACACGATGGACCAATTTTCTTTTTTATTTTTTAGAGTTCCTATAGAATTCGCCTATAGAGCGATTTCACTCACGCGGTCAGCAGGTATGCAAATTTGATGGAACAATAGAAAGCGTTTACATAAGAAAAGAGTCAACTCCCACAGGATTGGTTCGGAACACCAACATTGTTTTAATAGGGACCTTACGATCCGACAACGGCGACGTCCATGAAAACGTCAATGAAAAATAGACTTCGCACCCTTTCATACTATTTCGCGATTATCACAAGTCGCCCTGTTGCTTTAAAAGAAGGGAATTTCGGTTGGAGCTGAAGAGAGGGGGCCGCGACCGAGTTCAGACAGGGATTGTAGAATTAACCCCCTTGCAGTTTCCGTGCTAAAGTAAACTAACATTTATATTAGTCACTTTAAGTCGTAGTTGTGTAGGGACAGCAAAAAAGTGTCCAAAAAGCGTGATGCACGTACAGAGTTGCTTTTTGGACGTCCTCGTTTTCGTCACCGTCATAGTTTCGTAACGTCCCTAATACACCAATAGGGCAGTGTAAAATGCACACTGCGGACTGACTGTGGACTATTGTTTTTGGGTTAGAAAACAATGGGACGTCATTAAGTTTGAAAGAATGCCAATTCATTTAAGCAACGATATAGCGGTCGTTATGGTTGCTTCGCTTCACTCCATTTTAATGCCCTCCCTATAACTTTATTCAAAAGATGTGTCAATCGTAGTTTATTTCAATCCTCCTTTCGTTTTCGTTCCTTATAGAAAGATGCAAATTGTGCATTTCTGAACCCATTTTTAGCTTTCACTTCAAGCGATTAAGATGGATAGGAAAGAATTCAGAAGGGTATAGATTATTGCACAGGTACCCCATTTTAGAAAATTCTGACTAAGACCCTGCAAGAGTTACAAGCGAAAACCTGTAAAACAAACTACCATTTTGGAATTTTTTTCTTTACTATTCACCTTACCCTGGGGTACCAGAGGTTTTTCTCGCGTGCGGCGGAAATTTTGGGTGATGGCCGAAGGCCGACACATCTTCAGCCGTAGGCCGGTTCACTATAAAGACCTGACAGAAACCGGAAACTGCGCTAGAATAGTCTCTGGCACCCAGGATAATTCACCTTCAACTCTTTGCAGATTAAAATTTCCCCTTTCCTAAAAAAGATAGCCATAGCCACAATTCTATGCGGAGGAGAGACAATAAAGTGAGTAACAGAACCAGATATTCGAAATAAAAGCAAAGGAAATTAAAACAGTTGACATTGATTGATTGATTGATTGATTGATTGGTCTAGATCAGCACTTTTATTGTTCTCTGTCAGAAACATTTGTCGGATGCCGTATTTATAGTCAGTTAAATATAATATTAATATTGTATTTGAGTGCGAAATCCTGCGTCGGAAGTGATAATGTAACGCGATTTTCGGGTCGCGAAGCGGCCCTGCTAGCGACAAAATCGCGATGAGTCTTCGTGCTGCGAGCCAAATTTTAAATAAGACGAAAAACTTCTTCGAAATGTAAACAACAAATCCCTGTCGGCGGTGCGGTCCGGAAGGAAATCTTGTCGAGTCAATATGACAGTTTTATTGTCTTTTGAAGAAAAAAACAGATGAAGCTCGAGCGTGCGCACAATCGTTCTGTAGGTACAAGTCCCTTCAAACACTGGAAAATGAATGTGTACAGATGATGTTGCCGCCTACTATGTAGGTTAGCCCAGTCATTAGTTGTGAAACCAGGTCCTTGCATGATTTTTTGTCTTAGGACAACCCTCTCCCCTCTCTTTCAAAGCCTTTCAAGGTTCTCCGCCAGGGTAGACCCCACACTACTCAAGCACAGTCGCAAGTTACTATGGCTAGCAAACAAGAGCACAAGTATTTTACCAGTTTTCCCACCCTACCCTTTCTTGGTAGTACCAGGTTGTATGTTTTTCCTTACTGTTTCAGAGTTTTGTTTTGTAAAGTATTTATACAGTGCACAGGGTACCTTCAATACTGGTCCCAGTTGTTCAAAAGGTGGATAGCGCTATCCACTGGATAGTAACTTATCCAGTGGATAGCGCTATCCAGCTTTTGAACAACTGGGACCAGGACAAAAAATCTTGGGATACGGTAATGATGTTTTCATAACTTCCTGTGATTTCTGGGTGACCTCATAAAACAATGCTTCCTTTTCAAAATTTTCTTGCAGTTCTTCCTCCCCCACCCTACATGACATTGAAATCCGAAAAAAAAATCTGGAAACATGCATTCAACATTGTTTGTGGAGTGGGGGGGGGGGGGGGGGATTGGGCCCGTTTAAATTAAAAAAAAAAACCCCCCGGAGAGAAAAAGTGCCCAAAATTTTTTTCACCGGTTTAAGGTATTTTGTCCCCCCAAAAACAAACATACAAAGATGGGGAGCACCAACGTCCAAANTTGGCCTCACTAAACAATCATACACACAACACAGCTGTGAGGCTGGTCAGCTAGGCCAAAACTAAGCATTTATTGACGCCTCAATAAAATACAGGAAACAGAGGTAAATATAAACCAATAGCTTAGATGCGCCACAGCTAGACATGTAAACTCTGACTAAAATGCTGTAGGGGGCAGTTATACAGTGTAGAGAAAAATAGGGACCATGTATCCCCAACCAATGTTATGGCGCAATAATACTAAACAATTTACTAATTAAAACAATATTACAACAATACTAAACTAAAATAAGTGAAAAAATATATTTCCACAAAAAAAAAAAAACAGATAAAACAAACTAAACAACATAATGTGTTGCCAAGGGAGGCTGACAGTAGAATATCACAAACTTCTCAACGCACACTTTTGAAACTACCTGACCATGGGCCTTCACGCACTACACTAGCCTTATGCTTCTTTGTGTGTGTGTTGGCAAAATATTGATTTATGTCAATTGGGATAAACACGATAATTACATATTTCCTGCCCTTCAGTAGTATTATTTTATCGTTTTTTTTCTTTGTATGTGTGTGTACTAGCTTTATTACGTGTGTCATTTGTATCTATATTAAATATCATTTTCATTTTGTGAAAAAGGCTCTCATGATCCCAATCTTGCCTGAATCTTGGTTGGTAAAAAATATTGAAAATGCATTTAGGAAGTCCAAATGGTGACTGTGTCCATCCAATACATGCACAGGCAAACCAGGTGGTACTCCCATAAATTTTGGATAGGTGGGACAAATGAAAATTGACTCCCTAAAAAGGCCTAAACCAGAAAAAATGGCATCCATTTCAGAGGAAAAAACAAAAACTAAAAATTTAATGGTGAGACAAACAAACCTTGATTAAATCACTAAATTTTAACAGATGATTTGTCTCTTGTGTAGCTAGGCATTTATGCACTAGAATATTATTTACGCACCCTATATAAGGGTCACACCAGAAATGCAATGTCAACAAAGGCAAAAATGATACCCTATTTAGGTGCGAGACCCTAAAAAACATACCGTAAAATTCCAAAAATAAGCCCCTCTACGTATAAAATCGCAACGCAAAAATCCTTCCATTAAATTGCCCCTCTGAATATAAGCCCCCCGGGGTGCTTGTACTTGGAATTTGCCCTCGAATACAAAGTAAAACAAAGCAAAAACGGTAAATTTCCCTCCAACTAAAAGGCTAGCCCAATCAATTTTGAAACCTAAATTTCCCTCCGTACATAAGCCCCTCTGAATATAGGCCCCTCCATAAATAGGCCCCTCAAAAAGGGTCTTTGAAAAATATAAGCCCGGGGGCTTATTTTCAGAATTTTATGGTACCTTGTTGGGTGGTACATCATATATTATCTACATCTACATTTAGTAGTCAGCAGAAACCATGAACAGCTATCACGCAGTTATCATGCTATCTGGCCAGAATGATCAAGGTAGAGGGGTTAAAGAGTTGTCAGTTGAGCCGAAGGCCAAAGCTGATAACACTTACCAAGACTTTGACTTATTGAGGATATCATGAACCAAATCTAATAATAATTACCAGATAATATTTAGTAATTATTAATTATTACTGTTGCATGGAACCTGAAATATTGATATTGTTATTGGAAATCATGCACTGCCCACGCAAGTTACAAATTAGCTAGTTATCTGCTAGCAGATAACTAACTAGTCTGTAGGTTGCACTGATTTCAAAATTTAGCTGTAGGCTATTAGCCAATGACAAGATAGATAGGGAGTATAATGTCGAACAAAGTCATACATTGGAGTACTATGCTCCTCCCTTCCCCCGGGCAGCCATTACACAGGTAAACTTCACAGTCATCCGGAGAAAATGTAAGGTCCAGTGACTGTAATACACAGGGTGATCACTGTAAACAGCAGGGCAGTTTATATACAGGTTTGAGTGTATGCAATTCAATACAAATGCAATAGGCTACGTATTTTGCAGTTAATTTTAAATCCTCAGCAAATAGCTAAACATCAGAAACGTGGAATTTTCCAGTAAACAGCTACAGAAACATAATGAAGCAGTTAAACTTCAATATAAACTAACCTTCACGTTTTGAGCTGGTGGTAAAAGGTATATTCCCAGTGTTCACTTCTCTCAGTTCTAGTTCAAATGCCACTTGAACAAAAACAATCGTCATTTTCAACAAATCGTATCCCGGTAAAGCTTCCGAGAGAAGTAACTCTATTATTGAGCAAGTCGATTTCCTTTCAATTTCACTTCTGTCAGTTTCTTCGAAAGATCGGGACTGTTTATGAAGTTCAGTTCGGATATTTGTTACCGGCCGGCGCCATCTCGAAATTTTGACGCTAATCTTATTTGAAAGTGAGGCTGCGCTCTTGGGCATGGATAATAGAAAGACTGGATAGGAAACTTATGTCACGTGGGCTGACTTCTTATCGCCGATTGGTTGGTTCGTGCTCCAAGATGGCGTTGGATGGTTCCATCATAGTGGAGATTTGTGACGAAACGATGGCGAAAATGTGGCGCAAACCAGTCGAAATGTAGGGTTTCTTTGCCTGCATGTTGTTCTTTTTCGGATTTTTTAGTGCTACTTTAATCTTTGGTGGGTGTTTTTTCCTTCGTTTGTTGTCTTACGGCGATTGCGATCCTTCAAAGCCACACTTGAACCTTCAAGGTAAGCACTTCCTGTTGTTGTCTTGTGTTATTTGTCCTTGTCTTTGAGAAAATTGCGTCCCAAAAATTGACCTTACCAGAGCCATATTTAGTACACTTGGCGACTGTTTTGGGACGCCTTTGTTATGAAGGTTTCTTCTTGTTTCTATTCTTAACTACGATTGACAGATGTTTTAAGGATGGAATTGTGGCATAGGCATAGTTACAGACTGAATGCTGTTATTTTTCAGCCATAAATTTCATTTGAAAATGGCTGAAACTAACTACGTTCGGAGCTGGCGCCGAGCAAGTGTACGCACACGGTGTGTAAAGTTCCAATCGACCGACAAGTTTGTGTTGAGAACTGTTTCGCTCAAGTCATATCCTAGATTAACCCTGTTATATTGTTCGTAAAGCAGTATGTTAATTTCGCTCATCTTTTAATGTTGAAATAAAACTACTACATTACATATCCAGTGAATACAATCGCATCACGTCGCTCCTCGCAGCTTGTATTCGAAGGCACTGAAGAGACTCGTATAAATTTTGTACTTTTCCCTTACATAAACTATAAATAATTGTTGCATCAATGGGAAAACACCTACTGACATTTTTGTCCTCCGTTTAGTCTCCTAAGTGTTGATGTTATTTTTTAAACAGTGTTTTAGCTTTCCTTTTGTTTTTCTTTCTTGTAGGATTTGCTGAACACACATAGTCAATGAAGACAGTAAAATTGTGGTCAAGTACTCTTCTGAGAAGGCACAAATCAATCAATCTTTCTGTATTAAACAGCAACAAAGTTGCTTTTGTCATGCATGAGAGCCAGAAGGTGGCATCTAAATTATTTATGATCAGAAACTTTATTTATCACTTCTGTAGTGTATTTATTATTTCTTTGTGAGTGGGACAAATTAACTGTGTTTGAGGGTCAATGCTTGTATTAGCTACAGAGTCATGTGTTTAAGTTGGTTAGTGTTCTTCCCTGAAAAGGTCTATCTGAATCACATTGTTTTTCCAACCAAAGATGGACTTGATTAGCACTATTATTGTTTTCGGTTTTTTAGACACCCAAAGCAACCATGTACCTGTAGATGATAAACCTTACTAAGGTATATTCTAAATCAAATTAATAAAACATATACCTGTACTTGTCTGGGGTATGCATTTTGTTTTCAACAACATGATAATGTGACCAGACAGTCATATTTTTTCAATCCCTCATCCACTTACCTCAGACTAAACAAAAACCCCATAACCCCTGATGTTACTGGGTTTTTTTTTTCATATATATAAGCAGCTTCTATTTTTCTTTGGGAATAGTGTTTATGTTTATTTCAGAGGTGATTTACAGTATTCCCTATCCATATCATTAACACTACACAAAAACCTAAACTTTGTTTCATCCCAAAAAAGGTCAGTATTTCAAAGATAATACATTTCTAGGTTTTATTAAGCCTTATGGAAGACAAGTGTTTCCTAATGAAAAAGAAGTGAAGGTTCTACTATTAACCAGGAGAGTTTGCTTCCCAGTTGTATTCTAGTAGTTAACAATTAACCGTTTTACATAACATTTTTAAAAGCGTTGCAGTTCGCTTTTTCAAAAACCTGACTGAAAAGTACCTTGGGTCACTGTATATTTATACCTGAAAATTACAAAACAACTTGCTTCACAGTGAAAATAATTTGAAAAAGTTTAGAAACGGCGTTTCCACGGTGGTCCGCAAGCAAATTTCCTTTCTCTGCTGTGAGCTTTTCGCCGCTTTTTTATATTTTTTATTTTCTCAAATACGACTTCTTTTCACTGGTTGTCCGTAAATAAAATTGAAGGGAAAATTAAACGCCTGTTTGAGCTGGGTACTTTTACCGCTAATAAAATCATTTTGTCAAGAGTTGCTAACCTATAAAATTTGACACACGCTGAGCTTGTCGATAAAAGCAGAAAAGAAATCGTGAAAATCGTGATAAAAAGGGTTGAAATTATTTCCGGTTTTCTCGTGGTTTGAAGAAAATTAGGCTGTGCCTTTTTTGCAGGTGTTTTGTAGCTGTATACATGTAAGTTTTCGCATACTTTTTATGTAGCTAGGCTTCCCGTTTGGTGCATAAAATTATCGGGCGCTGGAGTCATTCGTCGCTCTCACAAGTTTCATAATCATTTAATCTGTCTTTTGCCTCTACCCGCTTTGTACCCTCTAACTGTCTTCTCCAAGAGCAAGTCCTCTTCATCCTTTACTTCAAAACATGGCCAATATGTATAGTCGGAGACAGAGATAGTGAAATATGCGAGGAAACATAAGACGTGCAAAACGTCGAATGAAAGAGGTTGAATGGCTCTCGATAATGTGACGTCACATTTTTCCACTATGTTGGAACTGATCGCGTCAGCCAGTTTCCTATCCAGTCTTTCTATTATCCATGTCTTGGGCAAGTGAGCTGACCCCTGTGTTTGTTTATTTTTGCCTTTTTTGCGGGTGAGTCTGTAAGATCTCTTGGAAGGTCTTGGATGAATAAAATTGCAGAAAAAAAAACACACCGAAAGAAACATGGAATGGACTTTTCTGCCATTTGAATCATTTGAAATCATATCAGTCTTAAAATCTTTGACTTCAAACCGATACAAGTCGTGGAACTGGAAAGGCAATCGCCTTCGAAAGCTGTGCAAGACGGCACCACTATGAACATTGTCACTGCAGCCAAAACTGCTGAGCGCCATCCAAAAATATTTGAAGCTATCTATACTACGGCACAGAAAAGTATTTTTTATTATTTCTAACTTATTTCCTGATTTCAAACCGACTCTTAATAGAGGGGGGGGGGGGGGCGGGGGGGGGGGAGGGGGGGGTAGACAAAGTGTGGGATTGGGCCGGTGTGTTATTATTTTGCCAGTAGCCCGGCATCCAGCGCAGAGTTTTCCAAACCCCGGCCCGAAAAGAGGAGGAATCCGCAGCTCCGCGCGATTGGANGAAACATGGAATGGACTTTTCTGCCATTTGAATCATTTGAAATCATATCAGTCTTAAAATCTTTGACTTCAAACCGATACAAGTCGTGGAACTGGAAAGGCAATCGCCTTCGAAAGCTGTGCAAGACGGCACCACTATGAACATTGTCACTGCAGCCAAAAATGCTGAGCGCCATCCTAAAATATTTGAAGCTATCTATGCTACGGCACAGAAAAGTAGTTTTTATTATTTCTAACTTATTTCCTGATTTCAAACAGACTCATAATAGAGGGGGGGGGGGTGGGTGGGGGGAGTGCGGTGGTTAATAAGGGTATGTAATTCCGCTGATCTGTTATAATTTTGCCCTGAATCCGAAATCCGGGTAAAATTTTCCAAAATCCCGGCCCAAAAAGTGGATGAATCCGCAATCCGCTGCAATTGCAGGATCGGGAAATCCGTTGAACTCTCGCTTGGAATCCGAAATCCGGGCAACAATATTTTCAAAATCCGTAGATCCGTTCGCCTATTCACCCCCCTCCTCAATTTTCTGGCGATGATACTTATCGCATGATAGAATAGAGCGGTTTTCACTTGACTGTCGAATTGGGATTGGTTTTGGTTTTGGTTTTGGTTTTACTACGTCCTCTGGTTGGCTAGTGTATTTACTTTGGTTTTGGTTTTACGACAGTCAAGTGAAAACCGCTCTAATGCTAAAGTTACTCTCAAACTTTATGCGTGACAATAAAGTTTACACACGCGTTCATTCTTTTATGTAGTTTTCTGTAACAACTTGTCTCGGCGAAAAACTATTTTGTAGGTTGCTTGTTCGGCTTCGATATGTTAAATTTCAAGACAGATGAATGCAAGAAAGTTTACTGTAATTAAATATCTAATAATAAAAGCTAAAATGTACTCTCTACCAGTGAGGAAGGTTGATAAATGTACATGTATGTAAAGAGCTAGTGGCCGTTTGTGGGGAGGAGCGCTGAGTGACGACACTAAAGACGGCTGTGTTCGGACTAATAGCTTGTACAAAAGAAGAAATACAAAAAAAGATCGACTTGAGGGAGGTTTTGTGAGCCCGCGAGACTGAGCAACCCCCACAAACCCTTATTTTCACGAAAACCGCTGGACACAAAACCTCCCCTAGGTGGATGTTACATCGTCACAACCGACTAGGAAAGAGCTGACTGGATGCGTTGTGTGACTCTGGCCCAAGCGGATGCGAAGAAGACTACAGAGAGACTGTTTTTGTACTTAACGTGTAGTAACTCCTTTTTTAATCTCTGGTTGCATGTTCTTCTTTTGAAATACAGATTAAATATGGGATTTGAAAAAAAAGTTTGAGCCATTCCTCAGCCCTCTATTTCAGGTGTTATGTTTAAATAGTAGTTTGATAGCAATATGTTTCAAAGACAAAGACATCTGCGAAAATTATATAAATATAATTCAAATAGAAGTCAAATACAATTAAATCTCCGATCAACCTGAACTGGTTTGATGTTTGTAAGTGCCAGGCGGTACCCCATGTGGGGGACTGGAACGAGTCGAATAAACTTTTCTCAGCACATGGAAAATGGCTGTTTTATTTTGACGTTTGAACTGGGTCGAATAGAATTCGCGCGTCTGAGATTATTCAATGGTTATTAAATCGTTTAAATAGCGTTTAAACTACTTCCAAAACAGTTTTAAAAGACAGTTGGTTTGGTACAGGATTATCTCCAATTTTCATAATTTCTAAGCCTTAAAAAAGATGAACAAAAAAACACCGAGCTCACGCATTATCCACTAGCTAGAAGGTGGATATTGCTGATCATGAATTGTCCGCAATATTCTGGGATACTTCTTTATTCACATTGAAATTTACACAGTATCTTTGCCATGCGTTTTTTCTACTTTCATTCAACAGAGTGCAGATTTAACACGGTTTATTTACTTTTCATTATACTATTTTCCTGCATTCCTCTTCACATTTCTGCACTATCCAGTTATTAGCTTCATGAGAAACATCATAATTCCGTGTATCCACAAGTATACATTCAAATTAAATTAACATAATTATTAGGAAAGCATAGCTGGATCGTCTATTCCTTATCGGCCAATTTTATACAATTAAAGAACAGAATTTAATAGTCAATCAAATGCATAACTAGCGTTTACTTAGGACTTACGGTGATTTTTTTATCCGCACATTTTAGCTTCAGCAATGATGTCTCTCTGGATTTTTTCCATTTTTTTCCTCCCAACTTTATAAAGATTAAAAGATCTCTTTTCTCCATTTCTCAGATCGTAGAGGTTACTTCTTACTAATCCCTCATGATAAGCCAGCATATTTGCTCCCTCAACTCGTGCTTGGTGGATTGTTTCCTTCCCTTTCTTCACGATAATATCCCAGCTGTTGTTCCCTTCAACAGATGGATAAAATTTTATGCTCATGTCATTTTGCTCTCTAGAAAGGTGCAACCAANCGCGCGTCTGAGATTATTCAATGGTTATTAAATCGTTTAAATAGCGTTTAAACTACTTCCAAAACAGTTTTAAAATACAGTTGGTTTGGTACAGGATTATCTCCAATTTTCATAATTTCTAAGCCTTAAAAAAGATGAACAAAAAAACACCGAGCTCACGCATTATCCACTAGCTAGAAGGTGGATATTGCTGATCATGAATTGTCCGCAATATTCTGGGATACTTCTTTATTCACATTGAAATTTACACAGTATCTTTGCCATGCGTTTTTTCTACTTTCATTCAACAGAGTGCAGATTTAACACGGTTTATTTACTTTTCATTATACTATTTTCCTGCATTCCTCTTCACATTTCTGCACTATCCAGTTATTAGCTTCATGAGAAACATCATAATTCCGTGTATCCACAAGTATACATTCAAATTAAATTAACATAATTATTAGGAAAGCATAGCTGGATCGTCTATTCCTTATCGGCCAATTTTATACAATTAAAGAACAGAATTTAATAGTCAATCAAATGCATAACTAGCGTTTACTTAGGACTTACGGTGATTTTTTTATCCGCACATTTTAGCTTCAGCAATGATGTCTCTCTGGATTTTTTCCATTTTTTTCCTCCCAACTTTATAAAGATTAAAAGATCTCTTTTCTCCATTTCTCAGATCGTAGAGGTTACTTCTTACTAATCCCTCATGATAAGCCAGCATATTTGCTCCCTCAACTCGTGCTTGGTGGATTGTTTCCTTCCCTTTCTTCACGATAATATCCCAGCTGTTGTTCCCTTCAACAGATGGATAAAATTTTATGCTCATGTCATTTTGCTCTCTAGAAAGGTGCAACCAAAGGGTGTCACTCACAATCAATGTATTTTCAGCATAAGCTCCTGTTGTTGTACCTTTGTTCCAGGGGGTCTCTTCCAGTGCTACCTTCGCATACGTTTTTGCTTCACCGAACTTTATGTTCCATTTTGTTTTTGTGGGCTTTTTTGAAGGGACGCCAAGGACGAGCTGTTTAGGCTTCGGGCTTTTGTCGACGTAGTGCTCCGTAAATTGGTATTTATCAGCTGGCCTGGAAACTAAACCTAAATATTCACTGCCTAAATTTACTGCTTGCCTGTCATCGTGCTTAAGATCTAAAAGAAGCTGATAATTTCCAAACGTCCCGAACACAAAACGTTTTGCTTGTGGAACATCAACTTCTACTGAACGCAACGCCTCTGTTAAACTACCAAGACGTTGTTCGAATACGAGCTTCTTTTTTGACTTCAGATAAAAGAGGACACGTTGTGCCTCCCAGTCGCCGATCTCATCCATGAGTTCATCATCAAGGGCAATAAAGGAATTCTCTGGTAGTAGCAGCGAGAATTTTTGGACAGCAGCAGGCAAGAAGTCACCGAGAGAGATGATAAAATCCCCACAAAGCCCAGGAATTGGATCAGCTTCTACATCGGTATTAAATCTATAAAGGAATGGGACACTTGGAACAGGTCGATCGTTTATATTCGAGCCAAAAGCTCGTTTGTAATGTTGAAGACTGCGCTCAGAGGAGCATCCAAGTTCTTCTATATCTAAGCTTCTGAGCTTGCATCTAATCTGCACTTTCATTAAGGATTTGGGTTCAACCAGGTATAGCTTCATTTCAGCAACATTTCCTGGTTTTGAACGTCTGATTATGATTCGTCCCGTGAACTTATGTTTCCCGCGACTGTCTCTCATGAAGGTCACTATTGTTTTTGTTTCTTCATCGAATCCAATATCGTCGTTTTCATGCTGTTCATACTGTCCTCCTCCATAATATCGCTTCCTCACGAGATATATTTGGCCAAGCGTTTCTGAATCTTCAATGATCGTGTGAGTAAAGTCGCGCTCGTCGGAAAGATAGATGACATAATTGTTATTTCCTCCATCGTTTTTAACCACGCAGTTTTTGCTCTCTCCCATCCAAATCTCATCATCGAATGGAGACCCTTGAAAGGAAAGGCAATAAACGTATGAGAATTTTTTAGACTAGCTTTGTGATCGGTGAAAGGTATAGCAGTGCTGGAATAAAAACTGTTGGGTTTCGAATCAGTATCCTGCAAGCGAATTCTTCATTTCATTTCTCAGAGATCTCAAGCAATTGATTGGGCCTAAATTTCCAAGAGCAAAACCGCTGCCAAACGCCATTGCATGTAAAGTTTATATTGAGGCAATTAATCTTCCCGGAGTAGTCAATCGATAAAAATCGGCATCCATTTATCAATCGTTAAATAAATCGATAAAAAAATCGTTAAATCTGATTTGATTGATATCGATTACATCGATCGGGAGAGTTCGATGACACACTTCTCTTTGTTTGGTTGATCGATTTATCTTGTCCCTTTACTGATTATTTCATCGATTTGTATCGGAAGAACTGAATACATACAAACCGGTAAATTGAGAGTCGAAAGGATGAAACAATTATTACTCTTTTTTACGGATCATTTGAAGATACTTATCTTTTCCATTAAAACAGTTTTGAATTCATGAATTTCCTGGTTGCTGATTTTGGCAAGGTTTGTGGGCGCCCAGTTTTTCACAATTTAGATCTGCCACCCTCTTAAAATATTGTTGGTGTAGTTCCGGATGTAGCAACATCCCGCAGAGGCCAATAGATAAAAATTGTTAGCAATTAAGAGGGTGTCTATGAGACAGGTGGGTGTTACGCCGCAAAATGTAACAATTGACGCAAAATGTAACATTAACGCGAAATGTAACAACCTTTGACGCGAAATGTAACATTAACCCGAAATGTAACAACTTTGGACGCAAAATGTAACAAAATGTAACGAAATGTAACAACTTTGTGACGCAAAATGAAACAATATTTTTAACGCGAAATGTAACAAGCAAAACGTTACAGCCTTGAAATAACTGAGAAGCTAGAACATGAACCTTGTAGATAATGTGTAAATTGTTTGGTGGTTACAAAAACAGTTTATTCATAAAGTTTTCTTATAATTTCAAATAAACTTACAAAACGTTTTTTGATAATAGTAACTAAATCCTGAAACAGTTCAACGAATTGTTGTTTAGTATATCTTTCTGTACTTATGGGTGACGCTTAAAAGAAAGTTGGCGTTACATTTCATTTAATGTTACATTTCGCGTCAAAGGTTGTTACATTTCGCGTTAATGTTACATTTTGCGTCAATTGTTACATTTTGCGGCGTAACAGGTGGGTCCCTGTGTACCTAGGGGTTTCGATGTTTGGACCTAATTTTTTGTCGGGGTAAGTATCTCAACACATCCAACAATTGTGCCAAGTTTAAACCAAATGCGTGGTTTGAGCATTATCACACCCTGCCTGTTACGCCGCAAAATGTAACAATTGACGCAAAATGTAACATTAACGCGAAATGTAACAACTTTTGACGCGAAATGTAACATTAACCCGAAATGTAACAACTTTGGACGCAAAATGTAACAACTTTTTAACGCGAAATGTAACAACTTTTTGACGCAAAATGAAACAATATTTTTAACGCGAAATGTAACAAGCAAAATGTTACAGCCTTGAAATAACTGAGAAGCTAGAACATGAACCTTGTAGATAATGTGTAAATTGTTTGGTGGTTACAAAAACAGTTTATTCATAAAGTTTTCTTATGTCAAATAAACTTACGAAAGGTCGTAAAACAGGTGATAAAGTTACAAGTCATGTATAACCTTGGAATAGCAGTATGGACAATAACAACAACGCTAACTTATTGAACATAACGTAAGTTAAAAGCAAAAGTTAAGAAAGGTAATATTTCAAAAGAAAATTTTGAACGTAGTGAATAACATAGATATGAAATTTCTCATTTCTTACCGGACTTCCATGGCCAGTAAATGTGAGAAATTTCATACCAACCCAGTCTTGCTACCTCAAAACTTAACCATGCCAACGCCCATTTAACATTGTTGATTATCTCACGCAGTCGGATGACTCCTCCACTGCACTTTCCTTTTAGGGAAAAGGGGAGGAGGTGGGTAAACAGACAGCGTCGGATAAAAACAGAAAGCATCTTCACTCGATGAAAGTGTGAAAAGAATGATCAGTAATCGATACTCGCCTCCATTTCATACGGGCTCAACTCCCTAGAGGGAGTATGCTAAAAATGTACCATCCTAACCCATCTAATCCGTCATGGATTATGTAACGCCAACTTTCTTTTAAGCGTCACCCATAAGTACAGAAAGATATACTAAACAACAATTCGTTGAACTGTTTCAGGATTTAGTTACTATTATCAAAAAACGTTTTGTAAGTTTATTTGAAATTATAAGAAAACTTTATAAATAAACTGTTTTTGTAACCACCAGACAATTTACACATTATCTACAAGGCTCATGTCCAAGCTTCTCAGTTATTTCAAGGCTGTAACATTTTGCTTGTTACATTTCGCATTAAAAATATTGTTTCATTTTTCGTCAAAAAGTTGTTACATTTCGCGTCAAAAAGTTGTTACATTTTGCGCCAAACGTTGTTACATTTCGGGTTAATGTTACATTTCGCGTCAAAGGTTGTTACATTTCGCGTTAATGTTACATTTTGCGTCAATTGTTACATTTTGCGGCGTAACACTGCCTGATTCTCTAATGGACACATTCTTAAGTTATTTATATCGTTTAATAACGGAAAATGGTGAAAATCTATCTAGGGAAATCGTTTAGCCTGAATTTCGACTGAGGAGGATGTCTGAAATTCAGGCTAGGAATAAGGAAATCTCTATCTAAGGTTGTACTTCCCGTGATACTTGCCCTGGGAGCTGAATGTAAAAACGGAACCGTTTCTGTCATTATGTACAAAATAAACGGTTTTAGAGAGAGACTTGTGTGTGTGATAGTTCCCACATTTCTCATTTTCATGTTTGTTGATCAGTTGTTACTCGTGGCTGTGCGTTCTCAGCCGGCTGTACTATTTAACTTATCCCAAAAAACAACAATGGCGGACTTCCGTTATAAATCGTTAAAATCATGAAAAATCCACATATCGATTTGACACAGCAATTTAGATTATCGATTTTCACTGATTTTCGTTATCAATCAACGAAAAATCACTTGATTGCTACCGTTTTTCATCGATACCGATTTTAAGCGATTGACTACTCCAGGTAATCTTTAATTTAAAGAAAATAAAGTTCTTAACGCTTAGTTCCCTTTTATGGTAGATGTTCTCACCATGATTGAGCAGGCAATTTCAATGTTTCTGTATCGCAACTGATTCGATGTCTCAGAGAAAAAAAATAGACTCGCTGACTTGCCTTGCATTCATTTAATTTGCATCCTAGTTATCTTGGATACATGTATCTGTTATATTTAGTCCCTATATAATGAGACCCGTCTGGGCGTGGTTTCGACAATTCCAAAGAAGAGTGTTTAAACGATATCAAATCAGGAAGAGCGTTAATGTACTTGTATCAAATTTGAAAACATGCACATGTCAAAAACAATATTGGAAGACAGTAGGTAATTGCATAGAGCATGAATGATTCATAGACATTAAAATAGAAACTGAGGAAAGATTTTTCTCTATCAGTAAGTGCAAGTTAAGTGTCAATCACTGACTCACTAGCTGCATGTTCCGAGAAGTTGTGCAGTCATAAACGATTGGATATTCTGAGCTCACACGACGTTGTTTCCTCGACTAGGAGCACAAAGTTTAAAGCCAATCACAACATTTTCCTAGCATATTAAATGCTGTTTTCCTCACATAATCCGGCATTGCAGCCGGAATTCTTTCCATATTCTACCATGACGGACGTTTTTGGCTTAATCGTAATCTTAATCTATATTTGCGTTTCCCCACAAGTTAATAAAGTAACGAATATTATTCATTCCTTCAACACAACACAGAGCAGACACCATCTAATGTAGCATCTCAATTTATTTTGAAAATGGTAATCATGAATTAAATGTACACCATATCTGTAAATGGACACATGCATGTTGAATACCTACCATGAAATACACTCACACCTTTCACAAAACCGACTTTGTATTCTGCTACTCCTTCACTTTGCTTTGATTCCTTTAATCTCAGGCAAATGTTAGTGGAACCCGCTTCTGGAAACGGGGTTCTTCTTTCCCTCATGTCGTACTTCACACCAGCCAAAATTTTGGGGGGTGTACCCTCAATAGCTGGAAACTCTACTCTATCTGGGTTCATGCCTTGAAAAGACAATGTATTGATTCCTGTACCAAGTGCACCCGCAAAGCAGTTCCGATTGGCAGTCCAAATATTGCAAATCGGTCCAGTAATCTGAAGTAGGTCGTCGCCAGCACCAGTTTTCACTCGGATTGAATGCGTTGACTTTGCCAGGCCTGTCATTTCCCCAATCACAACATTAACTGGGCATTTTGTTTCCTCGTTGTTTTCTACTTGAGTGTCAATGTGAACTCCTCTGATCCAAAAATGCTCGGCGACCATGGCCGTGTTAGCCACGACCGTCATTCCTTTTCTATTGGGTTTTGTTACGTTTCCATAGAAGTCATACCCCAGCGGTACTAGACCTTGTGGTTGGAAAAATAAGTTTTGAGGATATTTTGACTTGTCAAAAATCCTTTTCTTTCCCTTTGTCAGATAGCCATTCTCTCGACCTGGACTTATTTTCCCGTCAAAGATGATATTTGGATCATCATCAACACCTGATATATGTTCAACGGACTCTCCACGCATGCCTTGTATTAAATTTCCCTGGTTGATTTCGTAAATGGTGTCAAAGCCAGTGTTATATTTGAACACGGGAGTGACTTGGTGAGTTATGTTCACTTGATTTTGAAGATACTTCAAAGAACCTTCTTTCAGCTTCTGTATGGTCTCGAGATGATTCTTAATGGTACCATACGGATTTTCAGAATTAATTAAATCGATGATTATTGACGCAAGCGAAAGCATGCACCCTATAATTGCACCTATAGGACCTGCTGCAGCAGCCAGGGTACTTCCAGCTGTTGCTAAAGCTCCTACAACGAACGCTGTCACTCCAACTGCTCCGCTGGCAACTCCGAGTGATGCACTTGCAATATTCAAAGACCTCTCCTCAGGTGAAGAATTTTCATCATGTATTGCATTATACAACTGCCATCCACAAAATGCTACATTGGCGGCGTCAAAGAATGGCCCACTTATGGTGTCAAACCAGGTCAAACCCCTCGCCCACTTCTTGGCATTTTTTAGACTGGTCACGAGATCATCATACCCTTGGGTATTCTTCATGAATACTGTAACTTCACTATCGAAAAATTCTCCTATGCGTTTCTTCAAAGTTTTGGCGTTGTCAATAATGTCATCGACATCATCTGCATTAGCATTGACCACACGCTTAGTCAGTGCTTCGTTATACTTTTTCAGTTCACTAATTGTCTGAGGGAATTTTCCTTTGTGTTTTACTAACTGATTAATGAGTTCAGATGCAATGGGAGATACAGTAGCTTGCGCTGTATCGAAGACAGCTAGGGTTGTGATAGCGATGTTTAGGGTTTCCATAGCCGCTTCTTGCTCTCCTTGCTCCATTTGGGATATTGAGGCAATTATACCAGATCTCCACCAGATGCCAGTGCCACCCACATACATTGACGTCAGTGATGAAGACGTTTCCAACATTCGTATCGGATCAGCCCTTTTAAGCATGTTATACTGAAGCCTTTTGAAACCTCGTGCCAACCTAGGCCAACGTATGCGCCCATTCGCCGCTAGCAACCAGATGAGGAAAAACACTGAGAAAGGAACTAAGGTCCTTAACATTGCCATAAGAGCCTGCAAAATGATGGAAACTTTGTCAGTGGTGTATAATTTTTGTCAATACTAATAAAACATTTCAATTTTTTTTTCGAATTTTAGGGCATTTCAAGTAATTATTTCCACAGATTTCGATTCTCAACGGGAGTATTTTTGACAGTGTTCCTTTGCCGAGCAAATGACACAATTTTTTTTAGCAGTCGGAGAAGAATACATTAGCCGCAAACACAGAAAACACTTTCTTTTTTAACAACTAAAAAAACCTGTGAACCGCTAGGTGTCTCCAAATTACTGAGAGATCACTTGAGATCGAACAGGACTTTGGAAATATTTGTTTTCGGAAAACCAGGAGAAAAACCTCTCAGAGCAAGGTAGATAACTAACAACAACCTCAACCCATACATGGCGTCGATCTATAACTTCAGAACCCTCGCCATTTGGGAAGGAGACGATCGATCTTACCACAACTGCGCCAATCTTTGTTCCCCTTGTTTAACGTTGCCCAACAACCTTACTCTTCTTGGGCGATTTCTTTTGTTTTTCTTATATTCAGTTGGTAGCCTATTCAATTGCTAAATTTCGCGACAAACATGTCTTGCAAATATCTGACCATATCGGAAACAGATACGAAATACTTCTATCTGGCGCTCATCTTTATTTCGAGATGTTGTTAATATCAGCACAGACTTTTAAAGCATTGATTACACACCCTTACAAAAGAAATCACCCTATGTAAGGGAAACAAAGACAGTTTTGGATACTGGATTCCACGCCATAGATTCCGGATTCCTGGTACTAGATTCAAGATTCTTTGTCAGATGAACTTGGATTCCGGATCCCAATCTTTAATGGGATTCTGGATTCCTTCAGCTTTATCCCAGCCTTCAAACCTTAGGGGTTCGAATTCCATGATTTTTCCAGATTCCAGACATTCCACGAGCAAATATGTCCCAGACTCCGGAATCCGGATTTACATGGTGAAAAGACATTTTCAAGCCCTGGGATAAGTCGAAAAAATACTCCCAAAAAGCCAAGCCTAACGACAGTAGACCTTTATTGCAATCCACCCCAGTGAGGCACAGGCTCTCGGTTTTAGGATTTCATGCAAATCCCCGTTACAATTATTATATATTACCTTATTTTGTCAACTCAATTAAGCCTCCTAGATTGTTATACTTCCTCGTCATAGGAATGCCGGAAAAGGCTATCAAAAAAGTCCCATCTCGTTTTTGGAAAATACACTACACTTTTGTCACCTCTCCAACATTCTTAATAGTTATAACGTCAAGGACGAATTTTTTCATATGTTTTTAACCTTCTTCTATGACAACAGGTTAATTTTGTGGACTCACCAGGGAATCCAGAGTTTGACTACAGAAGCTTGGGCAAAACGTACTGTACTGTCTTTACTATTATTTTTATGGACCCTTCTTTTTTAGTAAAACGCCACACTAAACCCATCTGAATTTTAAGGGAAAGCTTCATTTGTCGACGCATCCCTGGCAATATGACGCGACGAAACAGTTAATTTGATTTTTTTTAAACTTGGTTCTACATATTTGACAGTGTTGTCTTACCTGCGATCTCTGCCTCAGAGACTTCTAAATTGCCTGATCCGTGTAAGTAATTTGTTGATATTAGTTCGTCGTTGTTATTTTGGGCAACAAGACTATTTAAAGCTGTAATTTAGAGACTTTAAAACTTTCTCTTAGATGAGAGGGTGTAGCTTTGATCCATTTTTAACATTAATATCTTGATACCTTGATATCACAATAGAGTTCTATTAAACACTTCAACACTGTGTATCGATCAGAAATTAACATTCTAGGTAAAAATGAACAATGACATATTGTGCCTTTAAGAAAACTCCCGCCTGTGGCCTCTGAAAACACAATTCCAATCACTGGAAAACTGAAATCCTAGTCTAACGTCCCTATTTATTGTTTATCAAGTACTGATTACCATTAGACCATGAAGGAGGATTTCGGATAAGAGTATTATAGATATCCATTGAAATGCTTTCCTTTACCCAGCTATTCGAATAGTTAATTATTTTTGTCCCACAGGTCAATCAATGATGAACATCTTCTTGCCAGAAATTTATCGTACAGATTAATTTTATCACATGCATTTTCGATCAGATACTAAAAGTGAAATTAAATCAATATATGAATAAAATTAAAGTTAGTTTCTGTTCATACCTTAACAGTTGCAGTCGTTATCGCCCTCGGGTTATTTCTTACTTTACCCGTTAAATAACAGGCTAGAACAAATCAATATCCGTCCCTACTTTTCGAAAGGCTTGCAAGGCTCCGATTGGTCTTTTAAAGCCCATGACCTGATGACATCAATGGCCTATTCCATAACCTCTTTATTGACCAATATAGATCAAAGAAAATGCAAATTATTACAGGAGTCTCAATGATGAAATTAGCGATAATTACAATAACAATAATGATGAAAAAATGGATTATGGGATGACATTGTCAATTCTTAAAATCTTTTTTATGGCTTAAAACTATGACGCCTCGTTCGCTGAAAGCAGGTCAACTCCCCATGGAGTCAGCAGCTTGTCGTTAGTTTCAAACTATTTCATGGTTTAAGACAAGGCCTATATTAATGAGGATTTGTTATAAGCGTACCTAAGGGGCCACGAAAAAAGAAACCTAACTCCTGAAGCTCGCTTCTATTTTGTAAATTGGTGATACATAGTGATACATAGGCTGTATATATCACGACACTTATTTTTAATCTAAGAAGACCAGAGGATCAGAAAACATGATTGTCTGTCTCGAGCTTTTTAAATGTTACTTGTAACTGGTCTCTCATTGTTGGCCAAAATCTTTTGGAATAAGGAATATGGCCTATGACGACAAGAATCATTCATGTTGGTAAAACTACTGGTGTCATATTCAACATAACCCAGGTCACACAGTTTTCCATTCAGTTTCATGACAGCACATTTATGTTTCGCTACTGGTGGCTTTGTTCCACACGAATAAATGTATACAAAGCGTATCCACTGTTTGTTGTATATCAGTGAGGAAACTGAGTAGTGAGACTGACGGAAAACAAGATTGGAAATACACCGGGCGTCTTTTTTAGGCCAATAGAGTGATCTGAATTGCTTAGATGATATGGTGCAAAAACGTCCTTCCTCTCTTAATTATAAGACTCGAAACTTCCACAATGTAAATCTCCTAGAGCGTCAAGCACTATTTTTTAATATCTTCTGTTACTTTAAGTGTAATTAATGAAATGAAATTAGTTGTAATCCTTTTGTTAACGGTTTCATAGTGTAAAAAGTTTTAATTTAACTGGTGTGCACAAACATATTGTCAAGTGTCTATTGTTATTGGAAGCAAAGAGCCTAATATCTCTCTACCCTACAAATGGTGCTTTGCAACGTCTTTTTCTAAGCCCAAATCAAATTGATGTTTTCATAAAAGTTATCCTTTTCCATGAATTTTCAGCTGAAGTTACGTTTGGACTCGAGGTACCTCTTGAAACAGTTTAAATATGGGCGCACGTGGGGTGGAATGGGGCTTATAGTTCTCATTAGAACTATGAGCCCTGCTGCTTAGTCCTAAACCGGCAAGTAAAAGCATAGGGCCTATAATCTTCTGTTTAATAACCTAATGAACTACGTCATTGATGTTTTGCAAGATTCTCCCTTGCAGAATAAGGAATTATGATTGGCTGGGTCTACACTACAATTTCAGGCTCTATAAAAGGAAACAAATAAAAACGACTCCAGTTAAGACCTTTTCGTTTCATTGGTTCCCCCTTCATAAAGTGAGAATTTTTGTTTCTGGGTCAAACATTTTATGGGGGAGGAGATATTATGCATGTACCTACTAGCTGGTAGGGGATTTATTTCACCATTTTTGTGTAACACTCTGTGTAGTCTTTTTGTCAAATTTACAACAACTTTCTAGCAAGATAACTTGCTTTTTGACCGATGGTAAAAACATCGTCAGAAAATTCAGATTGTACCTGAAAGCCATAATAATGCAAACTGGTTACAAAAAGTTACATATGCAGGTCATAAACAAACAATGTGATGTTTCATTGTTTCTGAGTAACACCTGCTAAATGCCGGTCATTGAACGAACGCATGGATGAACAGCCATGTCAACTTTTCAGTTGCCAGTGATTCACCAGATATGCGTTGCACAAGTCAGAAAGAAGTAATAAATAAAGAAATGCTTTCAAGAAAGCACGTCTGATAACAGTTTGTTTTAAGTAAAAGCAAATGATAAATTGCCTTGTAAGATATTTTCCTTGTCATTGCCTTCCCTTTGTCAGAATTATTATATCATGAGGTAATCATCATTAAGTCATTATGTGGTCATAACGTTACTGTTTTATAGAGTATATCATTCATTAAGAGGTCATAGTAAAGAATATAATTCACATTGCTGAACGATTATTTCGGACTAGTGCTTATTCTTTTCTGTTTCTCTCAGGGGGCATCGAGAGCACGGCAGCGATTGAAGTTGTGGGTAAGAAAAGAAACTAATTTATAGCCAAATTTAATGACCGTTTTCGTCAATTGTAAAAAAAACAAAGTATACACTTCAGAATATTTTAGTCTGATAAATGACAAGTTAATTCTTTTCAGTTTGGTGAAGATCCAGCAGTTAACCCGTGGCCGAACACATACTGAATTGTTTGTTAGATCGATATATTATTTTCTTTTTTAAGCTTAGAGATAATGAGCAATTCTAAGGGCAAACAGTACGACGGCCTTACACGTTTGCACCAGTGTGTGTGTTTGTGTGTGTGTTATGCCCACAGGTGGGTCCTCCCTTTAAGTTCCCGATCTTAAAGACGCACCTCTTAACCGCTGAGTAACTCTGCGTCACTCTATTCAGCATTCCCGCTTAACG